AAGCATGCCCTTAGTCTTTCTCTCAAATTGCTTGCCCATGCATGACACAGGCTGCAGTCGTGCGTGTGTGTGCACATGTATCAAAAGTGATGGTAATGTGCTGCCTCGATTCTTCTAGTGCCTCCAATGGTGCTATGGTATTTTGCCAATGGCTCATCTATGATCAACATTATATTGGTGAACCTAATAAACATTTATGACATTGTCCTACTAGATATAAAACTCTAACGCATTATTCATGCATGTTGGCCTTCATTGAGTTCAATAACGAACATGGCGGTGAACTATGCACATCATATTCTTCATACTTGGGCTCATCAGGTTTATGCAGTTCTATCTTGCTATCAACATAGCAGGTTGTATCTTGTTATATATGTATATATTCAGCTTCATGCTTAATGATGAAAACGTCTTTGCTGGATGAGGCCATGGGAAAAGAACTATATATTTGCATTTAACATAACATTTTGTAATTCGTGAATTATGCTTTCTTATTGTGTTTGATTTTCTATCCTGATCGGTATTTCTTGAAATAACATTGGAGTGGGAGACTTCTTCAGCTACTGCAGAGAGCATTGGGGTAAGTATCATGCAGAGTATATTGGGGTAAGTGTCATGCATCAATCTGATTTTGGAAGGGGGACTGTTGCAACAACAGGATTCAGTGTTCCAAAAAGCGGACTGCTCAGCCCCTGGGTAGACCCTAGGCAGACGCTTAGGCGGATTAGGGGGTCTGGGCGCATCGCCCAGGCCTAGGCGCCCAAAAAAAGCGGTGGTCCTTGGGCGCCCAGGAAACTGCCTCGGTGTTGGACGGCTGCCCAGGTCCAGTGCCCCGCCCAAAGGCGGAAATTGCTTTCGTTGGGGGCATTTTTTGACCATTTTTTTTATATTAAAGGGCCAAAAATTGGGGTTTTAGGTCAATTTGAAACCTAAAACTTATTGGAGCCCATTTTAGAGAGAGAACTCCCCCCCCCCCCCCCTCCAAAATAGTTTTTTGGTGATTTCTTTAGGATCGAAAGGTTTATCAAAGTTATGAGAAATTGATCAAAATATTACCCATTGATATTAGATGTAATTTTTGATGTTTTATAAATCTATTGGGGAGTTTTTTAGAAGATTTTGAGTCCTTATAAGCATCTTTGAGGTGGAAGTTTGGAGATTGAGCAATCAAACTCAAAGCAAGTGATTTTTTTTTATTGCTTGTATAAATTGCATTATTTTGAGATGTCTTCTTCGGGATCTAATAGGAGTCGTGATCCCGGTTGGAAATATGGTTACAACCCAAATCCTAACGATAAAAATTGCATAAGATGCAATTCGGGGAAAGGGAAAGGGAGTTGTAATTACTTCTGGTTCTGGGGTAATAGGCCTTGGGTTAGAAACTCTATGGATAGTTTTTAGCCTCGGCCTGACCTTGAGGTTGCAGGAGAGAAACCAAAGAAGCAAACCACCATTAAATAGAATGAAGGAAGAGAGAGATAGAGGCGAGCATTCCTTTCAATACCGCTCTCTTAAGCAGCTTCTATGACGCGGTAGAGGCAATTGGCCAATTTGGGCTTGGGATGAAACCCCCAACCCCATATGAACTTTCAGAGCTTCTTTTGAAAAAGGCAGTGAGTGTCACGAAGGAAGCTGTAGAAGTTAAAAAGGATGCATGGGCTCAGTATGGGGTTTCTATTATGATTGATGCTTAGGGTGATAGGGAGAGAAGAAGTCAGATGACTTTGCTTGTGAATTGTCCTTTAGGGACTATTTTTTTTGAGGTCTATTGATGTCTCTAATCATATCCATGATACCCATTACATATTCCAAGTTTAGAGAAGGGAATCAAGGAGGTTGGGGAGCATTATGTTGTACAAGTTGTCACAGACAATGCTGCTCCTAATGTTGCTGCAGCTAATTTGTTGCGCATAGCTTATCCTAGAATCTTTTGGACACATGCTTGAGGCTCGTGGCGGTTTAACTGCGATATCAGGTACAGTGAAGAAGGGAAAGTTAGTTACAAATTTCATTTATATCCACCATCTCACCCTCATCATGATGCATAGATTTACAAAGAAGAAAGAGATTGTAAGGCCTGGGGTCACGAGATTTACGACCTGGTACTTATGCCTAGATAGCATACATTCGAGGAGAGTGCAGTTGAGGCAGATGTTTATCTCGGATGACTGGAGAGCATGCAAGTGGTCCAAGAATCAAAGTCCTTCGCATGGTTGATAGTGACAAGCCTTTTATGGGCTATATATATGAGGCTATGGAGAAATGCAAAAGAGAGAGAGCCCAAAATTTTGATGATGATAAGAATTACTACAAACCTGTTTGGGAGATTATTGATGAGAAGTGGGATCGGCAGCTACATCGGCCATTGTTATTATTTGAACCCAGCTTTTTTTATGTTGACAAGGATATACACACAAATGATACAATTATGACTGGATTTAATAAGTGTGTAGATGTGCTAGTCCTTGATCCTGATATCCAGGATATTATATGCGTTGATGAGCTAATAAATTATAAGTGGTCATTAAAGTCTTTTGGGAGTCTAATGGCGATGAATCAAAGGACCAAAATTGATCCAGGTAGTAATAATATTCTTAAGTTCATCAAGTTCAAGTAATTAGGTTTCATTTTTATAGTTCTATTATTTATTTATGGTTTTATTCTATATCTTTGCCACCAATTGGTGGAGCCAACATGGGTGTAGTTTTTCAAATTTACAAAAGTTGGCCATTCAGATCTTAAACATAACCACTTCCTCATCCGGTTGTGAGCGCAATTGGAGTACTTTTGAAGGGGTAAGGCTATAAGGGTAATTTATATAATTGTATTAATAATACATGAACTATAGATTTTAATTAGTTTCATTTGATTTGGTTAGATTTATGCAAGGTGAAGGAACATGCTTGAATCAAAGAGGCTCAATGACCTAGTCTATGTCAAGTATAATCGATTCTTGAAGGACAGGTTTGCTAAGAGAGATAAGAGAGACCATATTTGATAAAAAAATATGGACAATGCTATGGAGTGGTTAGTTGATGATGATAAGGTCGAGGGGCGTGAAGGATTGACATGGGACATGGTCATGGATGCTTCAGGGACATTAGCTAACCTTCCTAGGACCACTAGATCTTCTGCACAGAGAACGAGGGTGGAGGAGGAAGAGGAGGAAGAAGAGGCAGATTTAGAAGAGACGGAGGAGGACGACCAATATGTCGAGGCGGGTGATGACTCCGTTGAATGTGAAGCCAATGCAGCTGACCCTAATTTTTCTGATGATGAATGTTGAATAATTATTAAACTTTGAACTTTGATTGAACTATGAATGGTAAATTTTAAGTTTTGATTGGATATGGATTATGGACCAACTTATGATTATGCTTATGGAGTGTGTGCTAATGTGTGGTATACTTTCAATTCTGATGTGCCATAAATACCTAATTCTCATATTTTATACAATATATAAATGTAGAATCCTCTTTGGATTCAACTGGGTCGCCTAGGTTCTGGGCTCCCTAGAACCCCCCAGGCTACCTGGGACCCACCTAGCGCTTTTTGAAACACTGATAGGATTTCAATCCTGCACTTACAGATATGAAGAAAAAGGGCAAAAAATTGGCTGAAAACCTTGATAAAAGGTTCATTAATATATCCAAAGAAAATGGTTCGCTAATGAGAGAGAAACTTCAAAATCTTGCAAACCATGAATTGATAAAAGCTAAAATTGGTTTAGAGCAAATACGAGGGGGGTTTTGGCTGGAGAATCTGTTCTTTGAGGAAACTTTGTTCTAGTTGGTTGACTTGATTGTTTCTAGACAAGTTTGAAACGCACTTTGTTGCTATAGAGATATTTAATCTTTTCTAATTCCTCAATAAATTCAAGACTGTTGCTTCTGTTTGCAATACTGCTAGGTTCAAAAAGAGAGGATTTATTTTTTATTTTTGGCTCTTGCAATAGGTTTGTGTCGCATACTGCATCCTCGTCTCCGGAATCTCTTTTTTTTTCTCTTGATTTAGGATATGATACTAGTAAGTCTCGATTCTGCTAAATGGTAAGGGCATCAAATCTTCCCATATCTCTTAACCTAGGTGACGATTCTGTTCTAGAATCTAGCTCCTACATTTTGGAAAATGGATTTTCAAAGGATCTTGATTTTTAAATTTGGCGATCTCGAATGCACCTGTCAGGGATCTCGATCCCCACTATGTGAATCATGATCCTCACCTTAAAGACCAAGATAATAACCAAAATGATGATTTTCAAGCCAACTAGCAATGCAAGTATACTTCTAATATGGTTGCATTGCTTGATAGCTATAAACAAAGTGATCCCTACTTTAAAGAGTATGTATAATCTTGGACTTTATATTCTCTTCAAAGTTAGGAGCAAGATCCCTAAAAGGTTGGCATCGAGATAACAAAATTTTGGGATCGAGATTCCTAATATTAATCGATGTCAATCCAAACATATGCATTGTTCAGACAACGCTCCAACCATAGGGGTCTTCTAGCCTTTCATGATCCCTCTCTCCTGATCCCAACAACTATATTTCATCTTATACTATTTCCTTAGCATTATGATCTTGAGATTTATTGGATGAAAGCCGATATAACTGTTGATTATCCTATTTTATTTCATGGCTTGTCTTCGTATTGCACTATTCCTTCTATTGTAAAGAATTGAACAGTTCTTGTTTGCTGAATTGAACATGATGTTCATCATATTATCTCTCTCACTTGCACATATGCACATATGCACACACACATTAGACTGTTGTCTGCTTGCAATAACTCTTTTTGTGTATACAATTCTTTCCTTATAACTTCTCTCACGACACTGTTGTTTACTTGTAATCTCTCTCTCTCTCTAGACTATCATTTTTACTTTCTTTCAAGAATACTGTTTGCATACTCTCTGTGGTGTGAAGTTTAGAGAACGTAATTGCGCTCGACAGGTGTATGATGTTTTCTCATTTAATTTAATTGGTATTACATGTTAATAGATGAGATGAGCAAAGAGATAGAGCGATATGCTGATAGGTTGAAGCCTAAGACCAAGGTGGCACGCTGCCGTCCACTTACATCTCTTCTGAAACTTAATTCAGCTTATTTCCCCCGAGAGCTACTCCAAGGTATACACTCTAAATGGCTCTGTAGGGGATCTCATATTACAAATTCCGAAATTTTCTTATTTGGGAGTTCTATCATGTTTTGGTGTCGCTGACGGTCTCCGTCACCTCCATCATTTCATTGGATGGTGGCCTTGATTGACTATGGTTTTCCATAGTTCATTGCTTTGTAGCATACTTTCTGTAAAAGATATGGAAGGTGCTTAGATAATCAAGAGTGCTAATTGACAGGTTTACAACATGAAAAATTAAACAAGGAGATTTCAGAATCAACATTGCAACCAGATTCAGCTAAAAATGGTGACGTCCTTCACTCTTCCTTTTTCTAATAATATCTTTTTATTTTGCCTTGGTGTTTTTCCCTTTCATCTTAGTTGGTGGTACCATTTTCTTTGAGACGTTTGGCTCTAGTCTATTGCTCTATTTATTTTTTAAACTTAAAAAGAATAAAAATGAAAAGAGCTGATTATTAAACATGCCTAGACTCCATATACAAATCTTTCGTGTGCTACAGAAATTTGGAACTCAAAACAGTGCCTATGCTATGAAAAATGCCTGTGCTGACCATGCTTTATAAATATTTTATTTTGCCCCCCACTTCGATCAGACAAGTATTGGCATTTTAGTAAAAGGAGCAAGGATAAAATGAATCAACATGTACTGTTTTGAGACTTCTTAGTTCTTGAGTGCTTGCATGATTTATACTGGTGTTCCGAGCATTGCTTTGATATGTTTCCATTTAGTTTTTGTCTTTTTGACTAACATATGTCCAACATTCATATGTTGTCATGCATGTTTCTTTCTTCCGTTCTTCTTCTTTTTTTTTTTCCTTTTGGGTTGGGGTGGGGTCGGGTGAGGTAATTTAGCAGCAGGATTTGAACTTGGGATATGGTATTGCAATTGTCAACACCTTAATCAAGCAAGAGCCCTAATCCTTATGCATTCGTCTTTTTACAGCTGAAATTTGTGGTTACTGATGTATGGTTGTATGTTTTCTTGTTTAGTTAATCTGCGGAAGATGGATTACCTGGAGAAACTTGAAAAGGTAAGCCTTATTTGCTAGTCATCTCTTCCTTGAATATTCTTGTTAACATGATGTACCTTTTGGCACTTAGCTATTTCTCTTTCTCAAAATTTGGCAAAATTCACCTTAAAAGTCAGATCAGATACGGGAGTAGTCCCAAAAGGAATTATGAATTTCAACATGCTTATATTGCACTAATTCTCATGAAATCCTCCAGTTTTATCAAACCACATCTTTATTGTTCCAATGTTCCATAAAATTATTAATCATTGATTCAAACAATGCTGCAGGAAATATCATACCTGATCTTGTTAAATGTTCACTTTTGTTTTCTATTTCCCTGTACTTAATTGAAGTGCCCGTTGTATAGTTAAGCTTCTTTTTGCATCTGTCCCTTTCGTGACTTTAATTTGGCCCAAGTTGTGCACTTGATTTTATCATTTTCTTGATGAAATACTTGTAAATACACTAGAAGGATTCCATAGTTGACAAAATACAAATTGCCCATACTGGGAGTGGTACATGTGATTAAAGATCATCTGTGGTCTGCTTGTTTGCTCTTTGCTGGCCCTGCATTCTATTGGATGCTGCAATGAGAGGCCCAAACCATACTTAGGAGACTTATGGCCCATTCTGATGATCCTAAGAATTGCAGTATTTCCACTATATGATGGCTCACAAAATGTCCAATTTTCAGGGTGACTCTTGAAATGTTCTGAGGCGGCTAGGCCGTGCACAGAGTAGATCCATGGGTTAGGCCATAGCAGATTTGTCTTTCCAACCAATGTAGTAGAAATTATTAGGCGACTACTCAGCAAAAAGTAGTCTTGGTGGTGCCTAGGCGACCGCCTAGATATCAAGGAAGATGGCAGTATAGAAAATTTTCAAAAATTAAAGATATTTGATTTTATTTTTTCAAAAAAAAAAAATCGTTATTATAGTTAATTTTTTAAGAAAACCGGTGTCAACTTGTGAATTTTACATCTAAATGCTTATATCATGGTGGGAGGAATTCTGATTAGCCTTCTAAAGCATGATTGTGTGAGAGTTTGTGACTTTAAATGATTATACAGATAAGAAATGAGGCATTTCATTAGTCATTCAGATGCCACATTGGAAACGCCAAACATTAGGATCCAAAATGTTGAAAAATGTCTTTTTTTTCTCTTTGAAAATTAACTTTACCATATGAGGATAATCACATTTTACAAGTGATTAGTCACATTTTACAAGTGATTACATTTCACATTGTGTGAGAGTTTGTGACTTTAAATGATTATACAGATAAGAAATGAGGCATTTCATTAGTCATTCAGATGCCACATTGAAAATGCCAAACACTAGTATCCAAAATGTTGAAAAATGTCTTTTTTTTCTTTTTGAAAATTAACTTTACCATATTAGGATAATCACATTTTACAAGTGATTTCCTTTTCCCAAATTGGCTTTTAGATTATGGAATCTCATTATGTCTTTACTAAAAGGATACTAGAGGAGTGGTTTTTGAGACCCTCCTCCTTGCAAGCCGTTTGTGAGCTTTCCTTCCTAAGTGGACTATGGCAGTGTAATGTTGCTGGTAGGGCGAAATATTGCTGCCATGATACTCGGTAATCTCCAGGGGTAATTGACTTTTCGAGTAATCCATGTGATTACATTATAAAAATCTCCTTCAATTTCTAATTTCTTCCATCTTGAATAAAGATTCCTTAGCCCTGTCAACCCCACCAAGCTTCTGCCTATTTGCATCACATCTATGTAAAGGTGCTGAGTATTTCATTAGAAATTTTCCAAAATGATATCAGATTACTCCTGCACCACCTGGCTCAGGATTCCCCTTCGACCTTCCATCAAGATGCAGTTTTTACCATTCCTTCCTTTGGAGGCATCCATCTCTGATAACTCCCTACTTTTCTGGGGATTGGTATGTATGATTTCTTTCCAAGACTTTTTGAAGTCCATGGTTGTGTTGCCGCAAAATTCATTTCTCACCCTTGCTCACTATCCTGATTTGATCCTTTAGCGATAATCCCCTAGTACACTTAGAATTAAAATATGATTATTCTTCTTTTGCCGTACAGCCCACCATAAGATTGCGAAAATGCTTTCCACCTGAGTGATATACCACACTTAGGTAATATTAGGAGTATTCGTGATCTGAACAATCCCTCAACTATAGGGCAAACTGTCAATTACACAATACCTAATCACAGATGGGAGACTAAGTTATTGAAGAGACTGAAAGTGAACCAACTATACACGTACAAAAATTTCTTATGTTCTTTTAAGGGAGGAAAAAAGAGAGGCTAGGAGCACATTGGGAGGTTGGAATACTTCTCGACCTTGTCCCTCCTTGGAAGGGAAAAAAATTATAAGTACCCTCAATCTGAGTACCATTTTCACCCTTGGGTCACACGGGACCTAGGTGGGGTGTGCTAGCTGTGCCAAGATGAGGCAGATCCAATCACACAGGGCTTTTTTTTAAGGTGTCCAGTGATGCGGTGACTCAGTAGCATGTGAAGGCACTCACAAAAAGGGCCTCTGTGTTGGGACTGACCTTTTTGCCTTTGATTTGCTTTCATTCTCTCCCAGCTCTCTGTTTATGTTTATGTTTGGTCTATATTTTTAGGTTCTGTTCATAATATCTTTCTTTATTTATCCCTCAACTTCCAAATAGAAAAAGTACTTTCTTTATCCCTCAACTTCGAAATAGTAAACGTACAGGAAGTCTTGCAAATTGTTGCATACTACAACTCCTCTGGTTATCTATTTGTCTTCTCTCTTTTAGATCTATCTATACCTCACATTGCTAGACTAGCATCCATGGACTTTTATTGAATATCAAATTGTGTAATGAATTCAGAAAGTTTTATGGGCAATCTGTATCTTGATTTTTTTTACTATGTATGAGTTCTTTAATTCAATGGTAGTTTTGAACTGCTCCAACTGTCTTTATTAATGTTTATCACATATCTCTAACAAGTGTGGAATTATGATTATCACATATCTCAAACAACTGTGGCGTTTTTAGTATGTTTCTTCGTTGTTCTGATGAGTGATCTGTTGATAACAAATTCTTGGCTACTCAGGTGAAAGATGGGAAGCCTGAAAAGGAAAAGAAAGAAGATGAGGATGAAGATGAAGGAAATGAAGAAAACGAAGAGGAGGAAGAAGAAATTGGCGAAGATGATTATCATGAGGTTTTAATCCTTGGTTTATTTATTTATTTATGAGTTTTATCTCTGAACTTGAGCAATGAACAATTACATAAAATAAATCAATGGTTACTGTCTTAGTGATTTACATCCGCTATGTCTTTGCAGTCTTTCTCTATATGATTTGTGCCTTATCTTTGTTGCTTTTGATTCCTCTGAAATTTGTAATCCTATTGTAGTAGATGGAGACATTGTTAATTAATTCTCAGTTAGGTATGAATTCTGAATTGGTGAGTGTTTCTGTTATTATTATCATTCTTTGTGGTCACTTTTTTTTTTTTTAAAGAAAATGTAGTTTTACTTTTCTTAGCTATGTTCCTTCAGATTTGAAAAATGGCACTTTGTAGATGTGTAGCTCCTCTCCTAAAAAATTGGGGAAGGATATGATATTCCATTTGGTTATGAAAATACGTTTGTCCACTGGGTCATCATCATCTATTGAAATGAAGGACAGTGATGGAGAGAGGTTGGGGCTTGTCATTGGGTACATCATCTCAGTTGACATGGATGATCCAATGAGTCCTGGTTTTCCATGAGGGGTTGGGGCATTGATGGTTAGGGGAGCAGGTGTCTCAATATGATGTCCTAGGCTCCATCCCCACCATTAACACTTCAAAAACAAATAATGATGGTTTTCCATGGTCCATTCGGTTATAGTGTACATTGAAAAATTTAGGTTTATGCGCGGGTGGATTCCCCTAAATGATTTGGGATTATTGGCAAGGAATGAAATTAGATACCAATTGGTCTAAATAAAGAATCCACCTACCTCATCATTATTATTGATAGAGCTTTTTGATCCCTCGAACGAGGTGTTCAGCAAAAGTTTGTCTAAGAGTGTGCTCTGTTTTCTTTTGAAAGAGCCATTGTTAGCCATCGGTTTGGTAATAACACTAACTATTTATTATGCCTCTTATGCTTATATGTCCACCTCCAGAGTCTCCTTTAGTTTTACCTGTGTCCCAAATGAACTACAGAGAAAAGCCCTTTCTTTAACTGTTATTATGGCCCCTTATGATATTGTTGAAATTAGGATTATGAAAGTTGTTTTATGTTATGGTGCCTTTCCATATCACTTGTGTGTATTCTGCAGAAGAACCTTGCTAGTAGGCCTTTGGAAATCATTGTGTAGTCATTGCAGCTCGTCTCGTTGATTCAATTAATATAGTTATGCTTATTTCTTCATATTATTGTGGATTTGATGTTAATATTGATATCTCCTATCCAATGAATGAAAGTTCGGCCGCCTTGCCGCCTAGGCAGCCTTTTTTCAAAAACGCCTAGTCGTGGGCAAGGCGGCATGCTCTGGGCAGGTCCATCTAGGCGCCCGCCTAGGCTGTGTAAAAGGCAGGCGCCTAAGCGCCGCCTCGCCTAATGGTGGAAAATGGCACTCGGCCAATGAGTAAAATCACCCCAATCTTTTTGAGGCTTATAGTGGTTGTAAAAGCGGAGATTTGGCAACCCAAACATTTTGGTTTGGCCCGATATCGATTCCACTTCAAGAAGGTTGATATATTTCGGTATTTTTTATTAGGTTATGTATTTTTCTTGCACAATGTCTAATGATGTTATTTTTGCTATTTATATATTATTTTTGTGATAATTTGTGATATATATTTGATATGTTATTGACTATTTGGATTATTATGTTCCCATTTTGATATGTAATTTGGGCCTTTGGGAAAACAATTCAATAAAAAAGTCCATTGCCCCCAAACCGAATGAATATTGTTTTTTTCTTTGTTTTTTTTTGTTTTGTTTTTTACATGAATTTACTTGTATGATTCACAAACCATAAATTTTCTCCCCTTAATTTTTTTATTAGTTTGACAATTGCTTAATGTTTATTAAATAATTGCGTGTGTAATATGTTTTTTTGACTTTGTGTTATATCATTGCAATTTTGATGTCTATATTTGCCTATATTTATTTTTTGGCTTAATAAAAACTCAATATATTAAAGGGTCAATATAATTATTATTTTTATTTCATTTCCTCTTTGTAATTTTTTAGATGACCATTTTCTAATTTTCTTTGGATGACTAATTTGAAGTTTCAAATATTTAGACTAGTAGTTGTAAATTAATCTTGCTTTTGTGAATGTATTTACAATTTTCACTTCTTGTAAATATTTTCAAGTTTGACTTTGTTGTTTTTGTATAATATTTAGGCTTATGTGATAAGTTGATACTTGATAGATAAAGGTTGTAGGTGAAATGTCTTCCTCGGCTTCAAGTAAACAAAGTGATCTGGGTTGGAAATATGGATATTGTACTAACCTTAGTGACAAGGATAAAGTAGCTTGCAAGTTTTGCAAAAAAGTGTACAATGCCAACATCAATAGATTGAAAAAGCATTTGACTGACATTAAGTGGATACTCAAGTCCTTGTAGATGTCAGGAAAGAGATGTTGGATAACATAGAAGAGGTCCAAAAGAAGAAAGAACATGTCATGACATGAGGACCTCTATAAACATCCATGGCATGCGTGAAGATGATGAAGATGAAGAGGAAGGAGCCTCCATAAGTAGACCAAGCACCATTGGGCATAAGAGACCTTGAACAAGAGGGCCTCTTGAAACATTCTTCTCGCTTCCCGATCCTGTTGCGGTGGTTCGCGAAAAGGAACCGGTACAGAGTACTTTAGAGAGTCGTTTGAAGAAGCAAGATAGAGAAAGGGTGAATCAGTATGTGGCTCGATGGTACTTTGAAGCGGGTCTACCATTTAACATTGTCAGTTTAAAGAGCTTTCATGCTATGTTAGAGGTAGTGAGGCAGTTTGGCCCATGATATAGGCCTCCTATACCTTATGAGCTCAAGGGGCATTTGTTGAGGAAAGAGGTGGAATTAACAACTGACTACCTGAAGACCCACAAGGATGCTTGGGGCAGATGTGGGGTGACTATTATGACAAATATGTGGACTGATAGGAGGTCTAAGAATGTCATGAACTTATTAGTTAATTGCCTTGTGGGAACTGTTTTTTTGAAGTCCTTTGACGCATTCGATAAGATTCATGATGCTACCTTCATATATGGTGTTGTGGATCAGTGCATTGCAGAGGTTGGGTCGACACATGTTGTGCAACTAGGACCAATATGGCAACTGCTAGATTATTGGAGGTTTCGATAGCGCATGTTTTTTGGACGCCTTTCACAGCTCACTGTATAGATCTCATGCTTGAAAAAATTGGTAAAAAGAAAACGGTGCATGAGATAATAAAGAATGCCAGAGCCATAACATTTTTCATTTATAGCCACACCCATGTTTTGGCAATGATGAGGAAGTTTATAGATGAGACTGACTTGGTGAAGCCGGGGGTCACTAGGTTTGCCACTTCATTCTTGTCCCAAAGATCGGGCTGCCTTTGTCTATGGGTGCTCGCCTTAGCACCTAGGTGGCCCAGACTACAAATCGCCTAGGCAGCTGCCTCCGTGTTTTTTGAACCTTGTTCCTATCAATGGGTTTCCTGTGCCATTCTTTTTGGCTCAGGACCAGTGGTAAAAAATAGATAAGTTTATTCAGAATTTGGTTGTTAGTATCTTGGTAGTTTCTCTGGCCGACTGATGGCGTGAAAATTATGGTAGGACAATGGGAACAAGAACCAGGCTTCATGTTTGCTGATTATCGTGTTTGATCATGTTGAAAAAGGGCTAAGCTATGAGGACTGTAGAAACTCTCATAGTTTCTCATGGAACAATTCCAAAATATATACATGAGGGCTCAAGAAAAACACTGAAACTACCCTTAAACCTAACCCTATTGGGAGATCACATTTTACATATTACTACTTAAATATATTATGCTCTATCATGGAAAAATGGATCAGTTGCAATGTGAATGCACTTTGGTTTTCATTATAACATATTTTTCACCAGATTGACTCTAATCTTCAAAAGAATAGCTTTGCAGATTTCCTAGCTTCAAGTTGATTGATGTAATTGAGAACTTGCTCTAGGTAAAAGTGATCAGGGTGGCGGCAATGTCACCCTGACCTCACTTTTTGCGTTTCGCATGTTGACATGTGTCGGTACTTGCCAACATTCCCTGGACGCCTTGATCGTACATGTCAGGGGATTAATAATGTTGGTAGTACGTGTCAATGCTTTTATTGACAGTGTGGACTTTAACAATACCCCATCTCCATTTGTTTTATATTTTAAAAATTGTCCGATCATTTCCTACCTTTGCTTAGCTCAAACTCAGCCATCCTTAACAATATAAGGTACGATCAACCATGCGGCCCTCATACCACATCACGATCCTGAGCCTCATCAGAAGGACTTGGGGTCAACTTAATGAATTATGTTCCACCATTCTGCTCTATCCAAAGCCATTCCCTCAATCTGACCATCATCATCATCGTCATCAGCATCATAGCCTTTCCTAATTTATTAGGGTCGGTTGCATGAATCCTGATCCTTCGTGAGCCCAAAAGTCCCCATATCTTTTCAAACTCCTTCCAACCACGTCCTTTTGGGCCTACCCCTTGTCCTTTTCAATCCTTCCACTTGAACTAACTCACACCTTCTAACAAATTTTGTACTGGGTCAGTGCCACACATTGCCAGCCCACCTAAGTCTACTCTCTCTCATCTTATTGCCTATTGGTGCCACACCTAAATTTTCGCGGATGGATTCATTTCAAATTCTATCCCATCTTGTCTTGCTGCTCATCCATTTCAACATCTTCATCTTTGTTACAGTCATTCTATGGGTATATTGTTTTTTGTCCACCAACATTCTGCCCCATAGAGAAAAGCGGGTCTCACAGCTGTCCTATTGAACTTGCCCTTCAGCTTCATTGGTATGCTGCGATCACATAAAATTCGAGTTGTATATCTTCACTTCGCCCACCCAACTCTAATTCTATGTGTGCCATCTTCCTCAATCTCTCAATTTTTTTGGATTATCGACCCAAGATATTGAAAGTGCGGTCTTTTCTGTACTTCCTAGCCGTCAACCTTAACTACTTCCTTGTCTCTA